GAGCAGGGAGCCCGATGCGGGACTCGATCCAGGGACTCCAGGATCATGACCTGAGCCGAAGGCAGTCGCTTAACCAACTGAGCCACCCAGGCGCCCCAGCCTATTCTTCCAAAAAGTTGAACTGAGGGACTAAAAGCACTCAGAAGATAAACTATATGTTAAAGAGGCAACCATATGCACTCAAAAGTATTCATAAAGTAGGCAAAGCCCATGGAGAAGCCATCCAGATCAGTCATTAAGACAAGAGTTGAAACATTTTTCTGAAAACAATTGAAAAATAAAGTTAGAGTGTTTGAAATAGTACATTCTACAAACATACTTATATTTCCCAAATCTCTGAGTTACCTCTTAGTTTCTCTTGTACCATTCAATTATATAACTTGTATTATTTGAACAAAGCATTTTTGGAAGCAGACATATGACATTCTGCCCAGATCCCATCAGAAGGTTCTGTGCCCTGGTGAAGAAAGCAAAGCAAAAGGTAGAGTTAAACCAGGAGACCTGTTAACTCTGGTGAGCCCAAAGGAGGCTGAGTCATCATCTAAACCAGAGAAAGAACATCAGGGCAAAAATTCTAGATTCAAAGCCCATGGAGTCTGCTTTTTAATAAATTGCTAACTCTGGGGGACAACAGAGTTTGGGGTGGGAGAGGGTAACTTTGATGGTTCAGTGGGGCTGGACACGGCACACCAGCCATATTTCTCGCAGCTCTTTGTCCCTATGGTGAGAGCTTGATGGCCCCATGTATTAGTACCACAACCCTCCCGTGGCAACTCTAAACTGCAGGCATAATGCCTACACGGAGATAATGGGCCTCTAAAGGTCTGGCCTAGAATTTCCAACCCTATTAAATGAAAGCAAACAGAACAAAAGCCAAAAAGGAGTTTGGAGACTAATCATCTGGCCTAGAAAACGGGTGAACCAGTGTTACTGAGATATATAAACACATAAATGTTAATATTAAAAAAGAAATTAGAGAAAGGCATAAACAACCAAGTAGCCCAGATTTCCTTTTGAAGGAGATTTTCATATCTTAACAATTCATCTTGAGGCAAATTAGAAATTTTGAGCACACTGAAAACAGGGATGATATTGTGCAGAATTGTCAAAGTTTTCCCCTATCCTTTAATGTTCTTCCAAAGAACTTGGTAGAATAGAATTCATAGAATAAATGCTAAATAAGCATCTGTTGAGTGAGTGACCAAGTCCATGATTGAATGAATAATTAAGAGAATGAATTGATCAATGAACAAGCCTATTTTCCTAGGCTTGAGCCACAGGCAAAAACTCACTCTGCCCAGCTGCTATTTATAACCACTTGCTCTCGATTTACCCCAGACTTGGTGAAGGGGTGGCTCTGTAAATTGCCTCCAGGGCTCATCATGGTCGTTTCTTAAATCCTTAGTATCTGCCTGATACTCCAACACGTGATGAAATAGCGTTCTTACACACCATGATGACTGCCTTGTTGCTAAATTCAAAGCATTTTCTTTTTCTCGGACCACATCCACCTTGCTGAAGCAAGTGATAAAATTGGAACACAATCTCTTGTCTCCAAATCTGTATAATGTAGCAATTATGAGTTTCCAGATATAACTGAAGTGTGCTTGAAGTGCAACTTACTTATTTTATTTTTTTGTAACTCAATGTAATATCCATTTTTAGTCCCCCTTCTGCTTGGGTTGTAAAATGTGATCTCAACCAATTTGGGGTGGCCTTCCTGGCCACTTGCATCCACTCTCAGGTGTTCTTGCACTCTCTCAGCCTATCTCCTCATGCAGATGTTTTCTTCTGGGAGCTTCATCCAGGAAGCAAGTCAAAAAGACCTTTGCACTTTGATCCTATAAAATATGAATTAGGTCATTTGCCCTGAGGATCAGCTGACAGGGAAGATTATCTCCTTTTCTTGGGGCCCTGTAATGTCCGATTACAGCTTTCTTCTGTTTTGCTTCTCCCTAATCCCAACCTGGAGAATCTTTAGAAGGTTTGGGAAAAGAGACCTCTTTGTATTTACTTGTAGTAAAAACATGGTTTCCCAGCTATTATCTGTACCATGATGGTTAAAAGACTTGGAACTCAAAAGCCAATAAGTGATTTATTTTTTGCTTTCTGCTTCATCATTCCTACCTTATAGGTATGTGTGCATATATGGATATGATTATATCCTTAGTAAATTTCTCTGAAAATAAATTATTCTTTATAAGGGGCTTATTCAATGCATAACAATAATGCCCTCTGGAAAAATTGTGCCAGTTTGTGTTAAGTTACTAGCAGTATATGACAGTCCCATTTCCCTACATCCTTGGAAATACACATTTTTAAAAATACATATTCACCATTTTTAAATTATAATTATAAAGGAAATATTTTGTGTTCATTTGTACTTCTTTCATTGCAAGGGAGCTTAGACATCCTGAGTTCATGTGCCCATTTTGCTTAGGTCTTCATAGACTCAAGAGTTCTTCATGGTAAGAATGTGAACGAATTGTCATATATTGAAAATATTTTTTCTTGTTCGTTATTTGGCCTTTTTATGGTATATGAGATATAGAAACTTATAATTTATAAATCTCATTTTGTGATTTTTTTTTCCATTGGCATTTTTACTTAAGAATTCTTTCTCCATTGCAAGATGAACATTTCAGCTCTGCTTCATTTTAGTTGTTTTATGGTTTTATTTTTCCATTTAAATTTTTAATCAGTTATATTTAGCATAGTCTAGGAGATTGGGCTCTACGTTATTTTCTATCATTTAATTATATTTGTTTCCACATCATTATTTAACAGTCCTCTCCCCCTTTGGTCTAAATTCCACATTTATCACATAACAAAGTTTTACACATGCTGGATGTGCTTCTGGACTCTGTGTTCTCTCTCTTACTGCAACAACAAGACACTGCTTTAATCATGATAGATCCCTAATAAAGTTAATATCTGATAGGGAAAGTTCCCCTTTATTACTTTTTTTTTTTAATTCTTTCAGAATTTCCTTGACCAGTGCATTTACTCTTGCAGATGAAATTTAGAAATCCCACGCTAAACGTTAGCACGGTATCTTAGGTCTTGGCTTCTCACCCTCCAAACTTGAACCCCCACTCAATCCATTCTGTACCCTAGTGCATCCTAACCTGCCTCCACTTCAACCTCAAACACAATAAATAATAGTGATGATGGCAATGCATCCCATCTGCTGTAGCTTCTTGACATTTCAAAGTGGGATTTTATTTTTTTATTTTTTTATTTTTTTTTACATTTAATTTAATTTTATTATGTTACGTCAGTCACCACACAGTGTCAAAGTGGGATTTTAACTAGATCCTGACGGCAGACTGGTCCCGCAGGGAGAGGAACATGCGAGCTCTCCCCTTTAAGAGCTGTCACTGTCTTTCCAGAGCGTGGAAGGGGAGCACCATGAGAAAGCTGTGGAACTGCTCAAGGCTGCCAAAGACAGCGTCAAGCTGGTGGTCCGATACACCCCAAAAGTCCTGGAAGAAATGGAGGCGCGCTTCGAAAAGCTCCGGACCGCCCGGCGCCGACAGCAGCAACAACAGCAGCGGCAGCAACAAACACAGCAGAACCACATGTCCTAGGTGAGGAGCGCCTTCTTCCACACCAACGACGGCCCGACACCTACAAGTTCGTTTCGGTTTTTAATACGGTTTCTGAGGCAGCTGGAATACAATCATTAGGTTATGACAGTCCCCCCGCCCGAATCAGTCAAGCAAATAAAAAAATCCCGATGACCTCAGAAAATGTAAACAAGACAGTCGCTTACTTTATAATGCCATTCAGCCATATTTCCTGCAAATGTAAGATATTTTGGAAAATCATGTACTTGGGAGGGCCGGGTACAGACTATAGGATGCCTTTAGGCACATTAGGAAAATGCAGCCTCTGTGCAACCCAGATCCCCCGGCACAGAGCTCCATGACAAGAGTAGGGGCTGGATTCCAGCCCGCCGCTCACCCTCTTGGCCAGCTGCCTTTGCACAGTGTACGAACTAAACAACCGTATAGTGCTGATCCTGGGAAGAGCCCTTTAGAATACTGATACAAATTACTGGAAAACTGCTCCATGGAGAAAGACATGGAGACCTGCCAGTGGGCGTGCTCCGAGAAATCTGAAATTCTCTGTGGGTGCTCACTGAAAATGTGATGCTCTTGCCTTTTTTCTAAATTCCACTGTGACAAAAATTCTCAGTCAGGTCTTGCTATTTGTTTTTTTAAGAAAAGCCAGGAAAAAAACGTGAAGAGTAAGAATCCCCATCTTTGAAGTGCTTCCTATGTGCTAGGCTCTTCTCCCATGTTATTCCTTATCCTCAGAAAAACCCTTCCAGGTAAGTATCCCTAAAACCCCATTTTTTAGATGAATGATATGAAGTTGCAATGGCTTCGTGGAGCCCTCATAATCACACTTTCAAGTAACATAGAATATATTTCCCTTTTTGCTCTTGCAGGCATTTCATCTGCCAACATTAGATAGTCTGGAGTTCTATAAATTGTCCTTGCTCTCCTTTGGAAGAGACAGTTAATAGCATAACACACCTCTCCGCTATGATGTCTGCAAATGGGATTTTGAAGGGAGGCTCAGATGTTCTTGGGAAAATGACAATGGGTGGTAGTGGTTTTATCAGACTACTATTTGCACAACCAGAAACACTGGATATGACATGAGACTTTCAATGGTTTGTGACACTCACAAAAAGGAGAAGCTACGTGGGGAAGTATAAAGACTCCAGGATTTGTCCTCAGACACTGCTGAGAATTCAGCTGTCTATCTTTCTTTCATAGCTTGTGAGTTTTTATTGTATATATCCCATAGTTGGGTGACTTCATCTAAAATCACCTTCCATTCACTCTAAAAACTATATTTATTCAACAGTAAGGATCTATTTGGTACTGCCATGGGCTCGACACTGTTCAATGGGCGGTAGAAACAGCCTGAGCAAAGCAAAGTCCTTGCGCTCATGGTGCTTACATCCTGGTTGGAGGAGATAGTTAATATCCAGGTAAATGAAAATAACCTATTGGGACCAGTACTTCACAGAGTTAAAATCGAGCGCTCTGATAGACACTGGCTAGGTGACAACCTTCTATTAGGTGATCAGGGGAGACGTCTCAAAGGAGATGACGTGTAAGGTGGGTTGAATGCTGAGGAGAAGCCAGAAATGAGAATAAGAAGAAGAGAAACTAGCCAGTGCCTAGCTCTAAGAGAGACATGAGCCACTTGATGTTTGAGGAATAGAAAGAAAGCTGGGGTAGTTAGTTAGGAAATAATGAGGAAGGACAGAGAGATAGATGGGGGCCAGGTCACAGAAAGCTTTTTAAATCACTGAGGGAAGTTAGATTTTATTGCAGTGGAAGCCACCAAAGGTTTTAAGCAAGGGACTGACATCTGATTTATGTATTAAAAAAGATCACTCGTGCTGTTTTGAGGAAAATAGATTATTGCAAGGTAAAAGTGAGAGCAGAGACTAATTAGAAGGCTGTTATAGAGTAGTCCAGGCAAGCGATATGGTGGTTGGACTAGGATGATAGGGTTGGGATGGAGTGATAAGGATGCATCTGGACAAGTCATTTTGCCCACATCCTTCTCCTCTCTAATCCATTCTGAATACAAAGGTACTTTACCTCACTCAGTACTGTCAGAATCCCTTCAAAGGTCTAATAACAATCCACAGTTCTTTAGTAGAACATGGAACTCTTTCCACTAACTCATTTTTGTCTTCCATCCTCAATAATGTGAACTTGTACCGTTTTCCTAATTGATTTGCCACACTGGCCCACAGTAAAATTATTCTAAAGTGTTTTGAAAGAAATGTGTTGCCATGCAGACTTCTGAGGTCTTACTAAAAGCTTCCACTATTCTACCCATTCAGTCATCTTTGGAAGGATACAATTTGGCCATCAGTATTTGCTGGGCCGTGCACTCCATTTCATTTCTCTGCTCCATCAGTCTTCATTAAATCACTTCAGAATTTCCTATTGTCTCATCGCCAAAGACTAACATTTTTTAATAAAAGACGTTTACAAACAGTTTTTTTTTCTTGTAGAGGGTACAGGAAAGTTCTGTTTAAATGAACATGCAATTTATATTTATGCCTGCCAAGACAGCCCTTGCTACACACACGCTCGTGGCCTTTTGGGATGACACTGTAGCGGCCATTCCAAGTACGAGCGACGTCGTACCGAGTCAGGTCATCCACGGATTTTATGGTGAATTCAGTCAAAGAGACCTACATTAGCTCTTGTTCAACTCTTAATTAATTAAATTTTTAAGGATTAAATGGGATTTGCTACACTTCCTAACTCATACTATGGTTGCTTTGGGGAAGAAATTTGAAGCTAATTTGGTGTGTGGAGACTTATCTCTTATGCCCACTTTTAATTTCAAACTCGCCTGAAATAAAACTCAATTGTCTTTTCCCCTAACTTCCATGTGTGATAATCAGGAGTAGATTACATTTTTCTAAAAGGTAATAGAGATGATCACTATACAACTGAATTATAGAAACCTAAACAGAGGTTAGGAATATGGCTATTTTTATGCGATCCCCACTTTCTTGACAAAGAGCATTACATTTATTCAGCTTAAGGCATCTTATTTTTTAAATCGTGATTTTATAGACTTCCATATTTCACCCAGATTCTCAAAGAATAGAAGGAGGAAGGAAGAGGACTCCTTCCTGAGTTGTCAACCTTCTGAGGAAGTCAAGACTAAAAGATTGTCAAATTTCTCTGACCTGTTGCTGCATTGACAGCGGAGAATTCACTGCATTTGAAGCCAGGCTGGGTCTTCACAGATTTACAAAGTAGCTGGAGTTTAGCAGTGGCCTCACCAACTGTCAGGCCCCCGTTTCCCTTCCCTTGTCCGTCCCGACTATTCTGGCCTCCCACGACCACTGCCACAGCTGCCGTCCTTCGGGTCCGATCCAGGGAACCCCTGCAGAACTGAGGAAGCCAGCCTCAGAGGACGACTCTGATAAGCTTGAATCCAAGGAACCCAGAGTTACCAAGCAGAAAACCGGAATAATAGCAATAATCACCTTAATGCTGGATAACATTTATTAAGCAATTAAGGGTCTGCCAAAAACCTCTTCTAAGTGCTTCATCTATGTTCAATTACTTAATCTTCACAACAATCCTGTGGGTAGTAGGTACTATTTTTAATCTCATTTTAAAGGGAGAAACTGAGGCATGTAGGATTTTTTTTTAAAAACCTATCCACAATTCACAGCTCATAAGTGATAGGGCCATGACTCAAACCCAGAAACACGGGCTTCAAAGCCTCTTTCTCTCCATCGCTGTGCTACTACTCTACTTCTTTCTTCGATGGCACCTGCCCTTACTTCCCCCCTCCCTCCTCACAGACATCTTCACATGAGCTTTCCAGGGATTCATTCTCATGCTAGTTAGAGTTAGAGTTATCCAACTCCCCCTTATCATTTACCCCATACTTCAAAGTACTCCATCACCTCAGCTGTATTCATGTCTTACTGCTGCCTTAAAAAAAAATTACCACAAATTTGGTGGCTCAAAAGAACATAAATGTATTATGTTGTAAATCTGAAGTCCAGTACAGTCTCTCTGGGCTTTAAGAGGCTCCAAGGAGAAAATTCATTTCTCTGCCTTTTCTAGCTTCTAGAGGCTCTCCACATTCCTTGCCTCGTGGTCCTTTGTCCATTTTCAAAACCAGCAAGGGTGGCTGAGTGCTCACACTGCATTGCTCTGACCTCTGCTTCCTCATCACACCCCCCTTCCCTGGCTCCTCCTTCTCTCTCCATCTTCCACGTTTAATGATATTAATCATATGTCCCACCTGGACAATCTGGGATCATCGCCCTGTTTTAACATCAGCTGTTTAGCAACCTTAATTCCATCTACAACTTTAATCTCCCTTTAACGTGGGATCTAACATATTCACAGATTCTAGGGATTAAGGTGAGGATAGATTTAGGGTCCATTATTCTGCCTATCACAATGGCTCATTTAAAAGTTAGCAAAGCAATTTGAGCAATAAGATTTACACTAATATGGGAAAAAAGGCTTTTATTTAAACAAGTAAAAAAAAAATCACTGATCTGTTGAATTACAAATCAAGGGAATGAGAGAAATAATGAGAACATTTGGTGCAGATGGTTCTTCCCAGTGGGTATTTCAGCGACCCACATTTTGGATGCCCGGTGATCTCTCAGCTCCTGGCATATCCCTCAGGCCTCCTCCCTCCCCACCCTCTGGAATTTACTAAAATTCACCTGTTGTTCTGAGGCCCATTCCCCTGGGACATGTACTATATAATAAATTAATTCATTAAAAAATTCAGCCTCTAGATCTCTTTCACTTGCTAACTTGGGGACCTATGGGAAGTTATTCAATAGAAGACTCAGTGAAATGGTCTGTTATGGAGATTGAGTAAGGAAAAAATACGTAGAACTTTTAACAAAATATGTGGCAATTAGTGAGCACTCAATAGTAGTAGATTAGTGGTCGCATTGTAGGAGGGAAAACGTCGGTACCAGGTGGTGCTTGCGTGTAATATGTTCTTAAGTGGGGCTTAAAGAAGCACAATGGCCGGGGCGCCTGGGTGGCTCAGTTGGTTAAGCGACTGCCTTCGGCTCAGGTCATGATCCTGGAGTCCCGGGATCGAGTCCCGCATCGGGCTCCCTGCTCGGCAGGGAGCCTGCTTCTCCCTCTGACCCTCCTCCCTCTCATGCTCTCTGTCTCTCATTCTCTCTGTAAAAAAAAAAAAAAAAAAAGAAGCACAATGGCCTTGTGCGTGGCTTTGAAGCCCCCACCCAGGGGTTTTTAAGCACATCTGCAGAAGGCATGCCAGCTGGAGGGTGTTGATGCAAAGTAGGCCAATTGCAAGGCCTGCCACAGTTTATAAAAATCTGCTTTGTATATGATGCCTTGCATTCATGGGCATAAAAATATCTGCAGCTTTAAAAACAAAGATCGGAAACCACTGTTCTCTCTGAAAGGAAAGATTCCATAATGGGAGAAGAGTGACAGGTCTTGGGGGGAGTGTGCACGGAGGCTGATCCTCCGGATCTGACCACATGGGCAGCTGCGTACTCCGTTCTACTTGGTGTCAGGCTGACCTTGTGCGAGAAGAAAGGGGTCTGAGAATCTGCTTCAGAGCAAGGAGGCTGGGGCTTCCTGCCTATCAGAGAGAGGTTCTGCTGGCTGTACCCCAACCCCAAGAATCACACTGTAAAAGTTAACTATCCTTTGCCTTCATGAAGAAAAAGAGTCATCTGGAACCGGGAAGAAGAAATGTTTTACACTTGAAATGTTTCCCAACTGGTGTTCTGTATTTCATTTTAGGGAATAACTGTTTCTTTTCCATCCCCATTTGATAATTACTTCCTTTGCAAACATCAAACGATTTTTTTTTCATATGTGGAATATTGTGCATGAATGATAGGGCCTAAAATAATTCTTGCTGTTCTCACATAGCACATGCTCTTTTGATATTTTTAGCATATTGTCATTGACAAATGAATACTAATCACTGGCTTCCCTTCACTCTTTCCCCCTCTTTCAGGTCCTTAGAGAGAAGCTACCTGATCAAAGATCTGATAGTCACAAATTCGAAACCGTGCTTCCGAATCCCAGCACATAGTAAAAGGAAAAGACCACATTGATAATTATACCTGTCAAGAAGCTGTGAACACGTGGTGTATGAATTCTTTACCAAGGCGACTTGACATCTTCTTTCTCTGGGCCTGAATCCCACTGCTCACGTGCTCTTTACACACACAGGCCTTCCATTCACTGCAGTGGGAATTCTCAGTGTGTAAAGGGAGAGGTTTTCCAGTCTGCAGACTGAAATAGTACAAGAAGAATCAAGTCCATGACTTTCAGATAAATCACCAGGCCAAGATGAAGTGAATCTTTGGTCTATAGCTTTTCCAGAGATTAACAAATCCCTCATTAAGCTATAGTTCAAACTGCATCAATTCAAGGTTGTTAACCACTTAAAAGAAACCTACGCATTGCCCGGTACCCTGACCTCGTCCACATCCATATTGCTGAATTGTCTGAATTAGAATTCCAGTTAATTGCAAATTCAACCTTCATTCCCCTCTTGAAAAAGGCAAGTTATGCTATTTATACTCTGTTCAGGTTCTAGAAGAAATTGGCTTTTTATTTTCTGTTTCCATGAATTTAATCATGCATTAATGGAGTGGGACAATTTTCGCTCAACTTTTGGTTTGCTAGAGGCAAGGATAGAGAACTCTAGTAGGGTATTTTTTTTTAATTTGAGTATTGCTTGTATCTATGATTATTAATTCTAACAGAATATTATGCATATTTATTCTACAAAATATATATTATCAGAGTGTATTTGCTACAAACTGAGGTCTTTTCTTACCAAATGTTATGAATTTGGTAAGAGAACACTAGCAAAGGACCTAGCTTTTGGTTAAGTTTTATATTTTTTGATTGACAAACTCTGGAGAAATCTAAACTCTTTCTACCTACACCGATACGTCGTTACAGAAATTTATTTAATATTTTAAAGCTTAGGGCTTCACAAAGCTCGATTATGATATGTGTTCATATATATATACAAATATATATGTCACACAAAGTTTTGATCAGTTTCCCCAAAGATAAATTGGATATTTTTGGCAATCTAAGACCAAAAGTATTATTCCTTTTAAAATTAGGCAGATGTAAACCAGGATATAATATTGTGAATGAAAAGAAGCTGTTCCTTCAAGAGAGAAAAGATGCCTAATTCATTACACATATTCATATAGGAAAACAGACAAGGAGATATCATCTTTCAGAAAGTATCAGTTGCTGGAAAATGATCTGTTAAGAGCCCCCTATACAGATCATCACTTTTGACTTATGATAAATCTAAGCACATAAGTCTGACTTTACTCATTGGAATGAATAAGAAGCAATAATCATTTGGGCACTTAAATAAGTTAGGCACAAAAATGTACCTGAAAAAAGAATAAATGTTTCAGTTGAAACATTCTAGATAGAGCATTAAAACTGAGGCAAATGCAGAAATTTCTCAAATGCAGAAATTGATTCCCCAACATAAATAAAGTTTACATTTCAGATAGTCCCCCAAATTAGAAATTGATGAAGCTCAGTTCAAGAGCTATTGCTTGAAAACAAAATAAAACCAGTCGGAACTACCCAGCACATTTTATTTTGCCCTGTCAAGGGGTATTATTGTCAATACCAAATTCTGCCTATTCTTCACAGTACATCACCCAACAGAGAACAAAGAGCGAGGAAACTAGGAGGTACACCAATTTCAACAACCGTCCTGAAAACATATCATTTTTTACTGGAGAAAACTGGGGGGGGGGCGGGGGGGAGGGAGGGCAAGGGGGAGGACCCTGAATGTTATGTAAAATAGGTTTACAAAAGAGATAAGCATGACTAAAGGGAGTGAATGGAGACTACTTGTGAGTATTACTCAGTTTGAAAGAGGTAGTTCTCATTTTTATAAGAAAAGTTTAATAAGACATATATTTTAGTTATCATTTAACAAAGAAATATTAAAGCTATTCAGGCGATGCCACAGATTCTCATAAAGGGAAATCATTGCACCCTTGTAATGAGAAAATGGTCATTTCAACACATTTCAATGCCTTGTATAAATTTAGAGCTTAAGGTGTGTTTTCATTTAGCCATAAGTGTATGGTTGATATGAAATGATCATATGTTTTCACATCAATATAAATATGGTCATGGTGTTATGGAAGCAGCTATCAAATGAGCAGATACCTTACATTTGTGTTGTCTAGATGTCTTTGTATGTTATGCTTCATTTGCATAATGTTAAATGCTAATAAATCTATGCCAAGTCCTTTGTCAAAGTGAAGGGGCAATCCATCACACCTAAGGCATCTAAAGACACATTACATGTCACAGTGGTCCTACATACAAATGACCAAATGGCCAGTTTTTGTTTTGTTTTGTTTTTTAGTAAAATCTGGTTATTGAAATATAAGCCTTCCCCTAAAGTTTTAATCCAAAGTTTCTGTCCCTAAGACTTAGAGAGGCCCTTTGTGGTTCTCTAAGTTTCGCTGAAGCCAGAGGGAAAGGGAAAAAAAAAAATTACCACAACTTGTACTAATGTTCTTTATTAGTAATGATCACGGTAGAGCCACCGATGTGTCCAAAATCATATTAAGGACTTATCAGATTGCTCTTACGTGAATGTCAGTTTTGAATATCATAAATAAATTAGATATTCAAAGTTAGGGGGGAAATCTGGTATGACTATTCCTCCATGATCCTGGTGAATTTGAGTTCTTTCCCTTGGCCAGGTTGGTGGCCAGATTTTGCTAAACTCTTTGCTGCTGTAATTTTGAAGGCCAGTACATGGAGCATAGTTTAGTAAAAGAATACCTGAACCTCTCCATTTGGGGCATTTACATTTTGATTCTGTTGCCATTTGAAATAGAACATCCGCAGGGAGATAATGAGCTTAAATTATAATTGACTTCGGAAAGAGTAACAGACCTTTGTGCTTCCTCAATCATGTAATCAATAGGGAATTCTCTCCTTCTGTGAACTACCACTATCTTTAAAGACAATGCTAAAATCTAAATGTAAAATCTAGCTGTCAGGGGCTTTTTAAGAATTCAAAGCTGTCTCTGAAGAACTTGGCTAGAGATGGATTACATCAATTTACAAATGCAGTTCTCAACCGTGACAAATCAAACTGATGTGATCTCAGTTCATTTTACTCAGCTGTGCCTATAGGACTCCAAGATGTGGGGATATTTTGTCTACATTATCTTAAACATCTATAGATATTTGTGAATGTCTGAATAATGCCTGAATTTCTCATCTTTTAGCTAGTTTGTGTTTATTATACGGACAGCCTGTTAATAAGACCAGCTTTCGATAGCGTTGTGAAGTAGAAATCAATGCTCTGAAGATTTAGGGAAGCCATCGTTGGGCAATATGTCCCCAAACATGGGGCAGTCCTACCCAGCGCGTCCTCTCTGGATCATAAACTCCACAAGTAAAAGGTGTGTGACGGCTTTGTGGACCTGTCAGATCTCTGACATCCGGTGTGGGGCCTGGCACACGACAGCTGCTCAATTGGTATTTGTTGAATGAATGAATGAATGATTGGATATAGGTGGATAGACAAGTAAATTAATTTTGCCTTCAGATAACCTGAAAAATTTCACCAGCGTACAGTAATTGGCACTGTAATTTCTGAATTTCATAGAACCAGAATTGATTCTTTTCATAAATAAATACTTTTCAGATAGATGAATTTGGAATCAATTACTTGAAAAGCTTCAAGGATTTGAGGCCATTTAGATAAGGGATAGTGTTTGGGAATTAGGAGTTTTTAACAACGAAGAAAGCTCAACCTTGCTAGTTCTTTATGAAAGCTCCCTGGGTTATTTTGCAAGGGTGATTAAAACATAGAACTCCATTTATGAGTTTTATAAAATATTCTGTTTCAATTTTTAAAAAAGGAAGAAAAGTCATGACATCAAGCACATGATTAATATCGCCTTTAATATTTACTGATAACTTCTCTCTAAGGAGTTCATAGTAATTGGGGACACATCTCTAAATCTTCTGCTTTCAAAAGATCACTTCTTTTCTATTTGATTTCTAGACTGTACCTGAGCTAAAGATGAATCACATAGCTACTAAGCCTTTTTCATGTATTTATTCATTTAACAAATATTTATTGTACACCGAGAACATGAGTACCTAGTAGGTTCTAAAAATAACCATGGCAAACAAGACAGACATAGTGCCCTTCTGGGGCTTACTGTGGGGATCTCCTCAACACTTAACTCTGGCGATAGCTAGAGTTTACTGTATATCAGCTCCCTCTTCACAGCCGACAGAAGAAATAAAATCCCAAATTTGTGGAAATCTTGACAAGACCCCCTGCTCATATTTTATGTGAGCTTGCTTTTCTAAACGCATCACTGAAAAATACTGCTCAATTTATCCACACACCATAGTTAGATCCCAGCAAGGTAGGTAAGTAAAAATTTACTCATAACACTTAGCTCTTACTAGGTTCTACTGTGCTTGGTACTTCCCATAGACTATATCGTTGAATCTCTTCAACTCTAGTAGGTTTCGTTTTATAGACAAGAAAACTGAAGCACAGGTATGTGACTTGTCCAGGTTGCACAGCTAGCTGATGAAATGGGGATCTGAACCCACGCAGCGTAACACAAGAGTTCATGTGTCTAACCATTATCTGTGGTTTGGGGGACACCACTACATTAAATGAGTCACTGTATATAAAAGTACCTTGAAGTTGTAAAGTAGTATACAAAAAGGTAGCAGTCAAGTATTAAGGTCAACAGTACATCAGTGGCAGAAGCAGACTGAGAACTCAATCTTACGTTACAGCTTACTCTCGTGAAGAACACTTCAAGCCAGGGACATGGATAAAGTCCAGATTCCGAAAATTTTTGACGTGTGATAAATATGTCAGTGACTCTTCAGAATTATATGTTAGCCACTGTGTCTATCTGGTGCTACAAGAAACAAAATCCCTTGTTGTAAGGGCTTCTAATAAATACACAGTGTGGAGCTGAACCAAGGATATTTCACATTTCCAGGGAAAGATCGGGCAATAGTACTATTTCCTCACCATTGCATGTGGTTGTGTCTTTCCAATTGTTTTCTTTATTTTTCTGAAAGAGCTGCAAAATTGTGCAGTGGTTCAACCTGACCAAAGTGGTATTATGCTGCTGGGAAGTAAAAGTATTAGACATCGGACTGGAAGTATTGTCTTCATTATCACATGACTTTTAAGTTCATTTAAAACATGGATATAGGGGCGCCTGGGTGGCCCAATCGGTTAAGCGTCTGTCTCTTGGTTTCCGCTCAGGCCATGA